ATATATATATATATATATATGTATGTATATATATGGTTTAGTCTATCTGGTCTCAAGCTGCACTATTTTTAACATCAGATTTTCTACTCTATTGGGGTCATCCTTGGGGACTTTATGAAGCTAGATCTACCCACTTTCAATCTAACCAAACCTTCTGTGGTCAGAATACTTGTGGAAAGAGATATTATTTTACCTCATGTTGGACCACAACTCATAATGGATATTGGCAACAAATCGTCATGGAACACAGATCTCCATATTGTACCCATTGTACGATGTTTAGGCAAATCCTTGATAAATGTCACAAGCTCCACCCTAATTTGAAATCCAAGGTTCAAGTGAATAAGGAATGGTCTCACCCCAATGCTCTGGACATTTTAGTTCCACTTGGGGAGGATACTACCAGACAAGAGGTGACTGTTGCCCCTATGGACCCCTCCATGACACTGCTGCTATTGTTACTGAGATTCATGTGATGTTGGCACCTTCAAACCTCATAGAAAACAATACTGAAGGACTATTACCTACAAAGGATAGTGTTCATACTGATAATGAGGAGAACCTCGCAGTTTCCCTTCTTCAAGAAGTATTCGGTGTAGAGGAAACTCATACTTCACATATACCATAACCTATTGTGGGTACTATGATTGATAATCCTTCTGCTACAACTCTACCACCTCATCAGACTGATTCTTCGGATGAGGAATGACAGTTTTACACTTCCAGGAGGAAGAAGAAGAATAGAGATCTACTTGAGCTCAGAACTCTTACGGATGATACTTTGGTTACTTCGGGTAATGATACGCACCTTACCAATTTGTTAGTTGGATCCCTTCCGAGAACTTGAGCCCGAGGCAGGACCATATTGGGATGACACTCACTTTTTCAGCGCCCTGGTGGTTTTGGGCTTTTTTAATTTTTATATGTACCCTTTTTGACTTTTTTGTTTGTGTTGTACCTCGTGGGTTGGGTGCCTATTGTTGGGCCCACCCATACAACCTATATGTATCTTTTCTCTTTAATGAATTAGCCCCTGGGCTTTTTTTTTAAATATATACACTGCATTTGTATATTATCATATAGTGTTGAAGGATTGATAAGTCATACATATATAAACACATTTGATATATAAATATTTATATATAAGTACATAAATTTAAGTCACTTATAATCGTGTATCGCCTTCGCTTATAGTAATTTATGATTCAATGTATGAATAATCATTAGATCTTTTGATATCAATAACATCAAAACATTTCTTTGTATATAAAAAAAATAGTTATTCATCTTACTTATACGTTATACAACTATCATTTCAATTCAAGGTACTCATTATATTCCACTAGTACAATTCTTTCAATATAATCAATACAATGACAAACTTGTAGATAGAGAATTTTACTAGCTACCTATCAAATTTATTGTAGAAATCCTGGGGATCAAGGATTGGAACATGCAAAACAGAAATACTTTTTCTTGGATGAAAGAACAGAAGACTCAATCCATTTATATATCGATCATGATATATGTAATAACTCGAGCATCTACTCCAAATGCATTTCCCATTTTTGAACATGTTATGAAAATCCACGAGAAGCAACTGATCGAACTGTATGTGCCAATTACCATTTAGCTAATAAGTCCGTGGATATTGAAGTTCCGCAAGCTGTACTTTCTGATACTGTATTTGAAGTAGTTGTTCGAATTCCTTATGAAATGCAACTGAAACAGGTTCTTTATAAATATATATATATATATATATATATATATATATATATCACATATATTATCATATAGCGTTAAAAGATTGATAAGTCATATATATATAAACACATTTGAAACATAAATATTTATATAGAAGTGCATAAATTTAATTCACTTATATTCATGATCTTAAGCACTTGATACACTTTTTGCAAATTTTGTCAGCAAATGTAGAATATCATTCTAGTTTGTTGGTCATACTGCATGTCTTCGTTTCTTATCGTTTATGCATTAATAAATAGTAGTAATTCACTGAGTTTGATTTGTCAAATTCACTCATTGATATTTACATATAGTAGGTTCTACCCAGTCATTTGGAGGACCTTTACCATAGGAGCAGACTTTTCAGTTTTAGATTTATTGTTGGGAATTTACATTTTTGCATTAGTTAATGTATTTACTTTTGGGTCTGGGTTGTTATTTCTTCATTTTGATTCAGTTTCTTTTCATTTATTTAATTAATTTTCTTTAGTTATAGGGGTTCTTAAACTCTTATTTATGAAAAGAAATAAAAATTATTTTTTCTTGTTTATTTTAGCTATTACTTGTGCATAATTTTTTCCTTTTGAGAATACAAAACATGTTCAATTCATTTCATCACGCCCTATGTTGTCAAGATGTATCGCCTTCCGAACTTGCGTGACACGAACACACTTAATTTTGGAGTTCCTCACGAAATTCCAACTACTATGCCAAAAGGTGTGTCCATATTTAAGAGTTCATCTTTATTCTACCTAATAAGGGGTTTAAATTTGTTTGTTGGGCAACATATAAATTTGTTTAAAACCAACCCAAAAACAAATCATTCCTAACAAACTCAATTATACATGATTATATGGCTCGCATAAAGATCAAATTGTTAGGTTGGACAAACATTGGTCATGCTTGCCCAAAATATTTGAAAATATTTGAATACCTTCTTTTTAAAGTTTGTGCTCCATTCAACCAATTTCTTAACTCAATATGCCACATTTCTAGTACTCAGTTCAAATAAACCCTCTTTATTTGGCTTGCCACATGGGGAAAGATGATAAGAAGCATTTGAAAATAGCCTAACTAGCTTCTCAATAGAATTGGCACTTATGTATAAAATACAAACCAAAAAATATTAATAAAAATTGAAGATATTCTCAATTAAGAGAATATATTTCATAAAAAAAATGGAATATTCATATTAGAAACTTTCTAATCAAGAAAATTTCATGACAACTAAATACAATTGCGAGGACAGCAGAACTGCAGTTTACATTGTTGGTTTTTTAAGTTTTGAGAGAACATTCAAAATAGTCCTCTATTCTTTGCAAGGGGGTCATTTTAGTCTCAAAGTCAATAAAATGCCAATTTAGTCCATAGTCATTTTTAATATAAACTGAAATAGTCTTCCACAGATGGTTACTTGAGCTCTAAATTAAAGAACTAATTTGTACCCAATGTAAACAATTAGGGGACTGTTTTGGTATTTTACTACTTAAATTTTATTTTTCAAGTAATTACTATAATTCCGATTTGCGCCTGTAAAAGCTATTCCTTATTGTAATATGGCTATAAGCCTATACAGCACTTATGAAACAGTTCCAAACATTTATTAAGTTCTCTTTTAATCACAGAAATTTCGAGTCAAAAAAAGATTTTTTTTCCTTTATATGAGCTAACAAGTTATCATTTCAATTTACCAATTGGTTGTAGATGTTTTATGATTGACTAACTACTTTTTCTATTTACTTTAACAGCTAATACACTCATTTGGTATCAATTTTGATTTTTTTTTGGAAAAAGATAACTTAATAAATGTTTGAAACTGTTTTATAAATGTTATATAGACTGCAAGCCAAATTAGGAATAACAGTCTATATAACAATTATAAAACAGTTTCAAACATTTATTAAATTCTCTTTTAATCACAGAAATTCTGAGTCAAGACAAGATTTTTTTTTTTCCTTTATTTGAGCTAACAAGTTATAATTTCAATTTATCAATTGGTTGTAGATGTTTTATGATTGAATAACTACTTAATTATTTACTTTAACAACTAATACAATCATTTGGTATCAATTTTGAGTTTAGCTTGGACTCACGCACACACATACACACACACGCAGAGAGAGAGAGAGGGAGGGAGAGAGAGAGAGTATTGATTCAATATTGCTCAGCTACTTTAGATTAAAATGGCAAGGTATCTTGAATTAGCGAGAGGTTAAGAAAAAAGCATGTTGAAAGTTGCAAATCTTAAGCTTTCTATAATCATCTTGACAACTATTCTCATTGTCTTGCCCTAAAATAGTTAGCATAGTTCTAGATTTGCAGAACTCTATTTTGATCTCATCTTCTCGCAGTTATAAAAAAAACAAAAATAAAATAAAAGAAAGGGAGAGAGAGAAGCTCTATTCCTTAACATCGACCAATATGGCATCCTAAGCAAGCACATTAAGAAGTATCCTTACACCATGCATTCGCCTCACTGAAATCGCATATACAAAAGTAACTTTAAATCAATATTAAAGAAATATTTCAACTGAAGCTTTTTTTATTAAATCTAAAGTTCTCATACCTAACCTTTTATCTTTCCTTCACGGGCAAGCTTGTAAAGGCCTTTTGGATCCCTTGCTTCACAAATCTCTAAAGGCATGTTCATGAAAACCTTTTAAAAAGCTTCAATAAATCAGTTAGCTGCTTTATAGATCAATGAAACTTTCAACTAATTGCAAAACAGCATAAAACACCTACTTCAATAAAATTTGACTCCGGTAATAGTGCACGACAAGAATCACGGTCTTTCCTGTAGGGAGAAATTAGGCTAGCAATACAGATCAAGCCAGCATCAGCAAATAGCTTAGCTACCTCACCTACAATGAAAGAAAACATGAAATCAATAACAAGACTGCCGCTTGATGATATTCACCCTACACAAATATAGAAATTTACATATATACAACACGTTCTTATATATTTATATGTCAAAACATCTAAAGTTTTATATTTACACTTATAACATCTCCGTGTCAGAAACATATACATGAAAATTTGTATTTCACTTTAATATGTGATGTGATTTTAAAGATTTGAATGTTATGCATGTAAATATGAAAGCTTAGGTGTTCGTGTTAGATATGTAAATACATAAAAATTGTGTGGTATGCATGTAAATAACTTAAATAAAGTTATAAAAACAATTCATAATTGATATGTGCCTAGAATTTCCCATAACCTTATTTTGAAATAAAGAATCAAAGAAATAGATGTAGATGTCGAGATTCAAAACCATACTTACCAACTCTACGAATATTTTCTGCACGATCATCTGGTTTGAAGCCAAGATCCTTGTTTAGCCCATGTCTGAGATTATCACCATCAAGGATGTATGCGAGCTTTCCCCTGCCATGGAGGTCTCCACCCAAACTACAAGCCAATGTGCTCTTCCCTGATCAGAAATTAAAGATATAAACCGGAGGTTGAATATATTAGAAGATTTTTTTACGACTATTCTGATCTGATGGTCATTCTGAAAAACATCTATGTTTTTCGGTACAAGTTTTCACACAAAACAATTCTGTGATATTTAAGTTTTTTGAACTGTAGAAAAAACAGCATAACAGAACAAAAAAGAAAATAAAAAAGAACTTTATCTAAATTTAATGGATTACAATTCGCTGACTATCTGTAATAGAGGCTAAGGAACTAAAAGATCTCTTCATGCTGAGATATCATATCAACTTTGGCCAAAGGAGCTTACAGCAAATAAAAAGGGAAATTTACATACATGACACACAATTCTTATGTATTTAAATATCTAACATCCAAAGATAGATATTTACACTTATAACGCCTTGGTGCCATAAACCTATGCATGAAAATAAGTATTTCACTTTTAAGAGGAAAATGGTAGTGGCGTTTTTTATGTGATGTTAAAGATTTAAGTGGTATGTACCTAAATATCAAACTTTAGATGGATGTGTAATGAATATAGGAATTGTGTGGTATGTATGTAAATGCCCCTAATAAAAAACCATATGAAGAAATCCTATAAGAAAATCTTGCAAGGAATTGCTTATCTTCATCAATTTGCAATAAGGTTTGCTTCCTTCTGTATAAGTCTCTATAAGTGATAAAGACTTGACAAAAAAATATCTCAATGTGAAAATGGGTGGTTATGAGAAATTCCTTAAAGAAAATTCTATAAGGACTTTCTTGTATTATATTTGTTCCAAAGGAAAATAGCTAGACAAATAAAACACAATGCTTTTTCATGTCAAAGGGCAGAAAAACCTATGCAAATAATGATAACATGACTTTGCTTAAGAAAAAAAGCAGCTTTGGCTCTAGACTAATATCTCCTCCATGACTTCGTAATTCCAAGTATCTCATGCTAAGATAATTACAACGCAGCTGTTTTGTTTGATAAGAAAATAAGACTGTTTTTTAGATTGAAAATGATAAAAGAGCTTTTAGTGCATTTTTAATGCTACTTGAAGGCTTTTTATGCATGTCAATGAGCTAAAAAAGCCATTTTTCTTGGATGACTAAGCTTTAAGGGCTGTTTGGCTATAGGTAGCATTTAGATAAACATGCAAATCTAGATTTAATAAATCCTGAAAAGATTAAATCTTAAAATTGTTTAGGATGAAAACTTTTAAATCCTACCAAGTTCTTAGAAATTATATGGCTATTTGTTACAGAATCTAACATTTGTGAGGAAAAATTCTTAAACCCATTAAATCCTGTGAATGATAGGATATAACAAATCCTGAATTTAACCATTAAAGTACCAAATTATGATTTATCAAAAAACAAGATTTATTATCAAAATCCCCCAAAACATTTTCTTCTTGAAGCAAATCAATTTATTTTTCTGCTATATATTGATTCATGTCATATAAAAAATAACAAAACTAACAATTAGTCGAACCTCGAACAAGAAAAACACAAGCAAAAAAAGAAAACCCATAAATTCCACTTATGTTAAAAACGAAAAAGAAAGGTAAGTACAGATCGCAAACCTGAGCCACTAAGTCCCGTGATCCAAACAACACAGCCTTTCTGATTCAAAAGCTTCTGCCTCTCCAGCCTTCCAACCGAACATTCTTGCCAGAAGATATTTGTGACCTTCCCCAGAGAAGCCATTACAGATCAGTCAATTACCTGCGCAATGATCCATCACAGACACAGAAGACTTAAAGAAATCACAACATTGACAAAGAACAAAAGAAAAAAAAAAGCTTGGCGGAAGAGAAAACAATGTGTCTACCTTTCGAATCGAATACCACCACTTCGTAAATTTATCAAAATCCACAAGGGAGAAACCCTCAAAACCACTCTTGTAAAAGCGTATTTCCTTGATTTTCGGCAAAGTTTAGTTAATAAAAGATTGATAAATTTGAAATCAAATTCAAGGCAGCAAGAACCATGCATAAATCCCTTGATCTCAACAATGCTATCTAAGGAATTGTCTTGCAGGTTTTCCGATTCCTGTTTTGAGACACGGAAGCTTTTACAGAGCAGGGAAGAAGAAGGAAACCTGTGCACAAGAGTTTTTTATTGGGAGTCTCGAATCTAACTAATTCATTTCCTCCTTCCCGGGGCTCCTTCGAATATAAATACGTTGCACGAAAATTAATACGAAGATTTACATACATGCCACTCAATTTTTATGTATTTATATATTAAAATCTAAACTTCAAAAAAAAAAAAAATATATATATATATATATATATTATATATATATATTTATTGGTCAAAAGTAAAATAAAAATATTTTTTTAAAGTTATATGAAAATTTTGAGTGATATAAATATAAAAAATAAAATTATAACCGACTCTTGAGAAGTATTTATGTAATTTTGAGGTTGTGAAAATCAGGTTAGATATCAAACCAACGGACGGTTCAATGTTAACTGGTTCAACCGGAGTTAAATCGGGGTTGAACCGGATGACACAATAAATAAATAAAATTAACTAAATGACCTAAATAAAATGATAATATTGTAATGATATAAATATAAAAAAATAAATATAGAAAGAAAATATAATCATGTAATAATATAAAATGTTCTTAATGAATATATGTATTAACTTTTATATAAATAAAATTTAACTCAATCCAAATTTAAATTAAATTGATTTTTTAATTCATTCATTTATTACAATCAAATTTGATTCAAAAAGATTATACTGCGGCTTCTACTACTTTATTTTCATATTCAAATTAAATTACTAATTTTAATTAATTAATTAATTTAGATTGAACTGCATCAAAAGAATATATATACATGAAGGGTTTTATTTAAAAGCAGCGTGGTTTACTTCCCAATCGCGAAATACGGTTTTCAAAGCAAGGAATCGGTTCGTGGGTTTACAGGTCGAATCAGTTTTTGAGGGTTTGAACTTTAAAACGGTCCGGATCAGGCAGGCTGCTTGTGCGCAATCGAACTGGTCTGTCCGGTCCGATCTGATATTTAAGACATTGGTTGAAAGGGGATCTGTACGAGTAAATAACTGGAATGGGACGGGGGTCAAGTACCCAATGGCCTTTTTAATTGTTTATATATGTATAAAGATAGAATACAATTTTTGTATATATTTATAACGGTTAATGTTATATATATATATA